TGCCACGGGGGCTGCCTCTGGGTTCTCTGCCGTCACCTGGAGAAAGGACTGCTCTTTAAAGCAAACAACAATAATCCTTGTAACTGGAACACCTAAGCCCCAGGAAGTCACATTCTTTAATGCAGTCTACACTGATTTTTACTTTGGAAAGTTCTCTCTTGAGTGAGTATAATTTGTTCTCGATTATGGTAGAACTGTTTAGGATTTGTAATAGGCTTTTTAAAAAAAAATTAAAAAAGAAATCCTTCGGCTGGGCGCGGTGGCTCACGCCTGTAATCCCAGCACTTTGGGAGGCTGTGGGCAGGTGGATCACGAGGTCAAGAGATCGAGACCATCCTGGTCAACATGGTGAAACCCCGTCTCTACTAAAAATACAAAAAAATTAGCTGGGCATGGTGGCGCGTGCCTGTAGTCCCAGCTACTCAGGAGGCTGAGGCAGGAGCATTGCCTGAACCCAGGAGGCGGAGGTTGCCGTGAGCCAAGATCGCGCCATTGCACTCCAGCCTGGGTAACAAGAGCGAAACTCCGTCTCAAAAAAAAAAAAAAAAAAAGAAAGAAATCCTTTATTTTGATTTTTAAGGAAAAAAAGAGACCCTGGTTAGAGCATAGTGCAGTTGGTTGCCTGTGATGTTGAAAATAAATGTGCTCTTTCCCCTTTTACTTAACATATTATTTATTCTAGAGCAAAAAGATTCTTATTTTTTTAAAATAGTAACTATGGTGTCCACCTCTTAAAAAGTGTTGTCATAGCAGTCTTTCATCTGACTGATTTTCAAGATTGTACTCCTGGGAGAAATGGTGAAGAGAAAGTGGGGTGTTAATTAGACAGATTGAAGCTAGAGATGTAGCTAGTGCTAACAGAATTTACAATGTAGAACGCCTCCATCTCCAACCTGAGAGTGGATTTCCTTCTGCCACGATTGCAGTAGGATTCAAACTCATCTTTCCTTTCTTACCATGTCTTTCCCTCTTAAAATTACCTAATAGATCTTCTTTGCATGTAAAGTACCCTAAATATTGACGTCTTCTAATTTATTTTTTCTTTCTGCAAAGCATGTTGAAGGCTGCTTCCAGATATTCTCCACTAGCAAATACAAATTTTCTAGCAACAGGATGCCTATTTTAAATGCCTGGATTGGTCAGGTGCGGTGGCTCAGGCTGTAATTCCAGTACTTTGGGAGGCTGAGGCAGGCAGATCACCTGAGGTCAGGAGTTTGAGAACAGCCTGGCCAACATGGTGACACCCCATCTCTACTAAAAATACAGCCAGGTGTGGTGGGTGCGTGCCTGTAGTCCCAGCTACTTGGGAGGCTGAGGCAGGAGAATCACTTGACCTGGGAGGGGGAGATTGCAGTGAGCCGAGATCACACCACTACACTCCAGCCTGGGCAACAAAGCGAGACTCCATCTCAAAAAAAAAAAAAAAAATGCCTGGATTGATTTAGCAACGACAACAAACTTAACGAAATTTTATTTTCATCACGAAAACATATGTTTTGGGAAATGTATGTTGCATAAGCAAGTGGATAAACCTCAGAAGCGAGTACTTAGCCAGCACGCCCTTGCCCTGGGAATGGTCCTGTTGGAGGACTTGCTGCGGCTCCACCAGTTTTCCACATCAGGGTCCTAATGAGTTGAATGAACCACGCGGGTAACTTTTACTAACCATCAAAAACTGAAGTTTATAAGTGATTTACTTTAAAAATACAAGTTAGAGAGCATTAGAAGCCATGCCTGGAATTGCATCATGTTGTTTCCTCCCTTCAAGAAAGGCAGGGGAAAGCCACAGTGTCTAAACTCTGCCTCACCTGTCAGCTGCTGATACCTGCTGAGCCAGTGATCACTTGAAGGAGGAGCGTGATCCTTTTGACAGAACAGTTGTGAGAACTGGGAAGTCCATCGTGCTTTACCTCTCCTCAGAGTTTTGTTTGTCAAAATCTGGGCATGCTGATGGTGGTTGTGCGTGAGAATATTATTTGTTATGCGTTGTGTCTCCCTCCCCTGCCTCAAAACAAAGCCCAAACAAACAAGTCAGTGCTTTGAAAGATGCTGCCAAGCTTTCATTAAGCAAAGTCAAGCTGATTACCTTTAGTGGTGGTAGACTTTTTGCTAGTGCTTCACATTTGGTGCCTGTCTCTAGAAAGTGCCCCTGAAAGACAGAGTTGAGAGTGCACGGGTTGCATCTCTCTGGTGTGGACAGGGAGTGCAGGTACCTTCTCAGCTGTCTCACTGGCATTCTTCCCTGCCTGCCCCCAGTCCCTTAGGGCAAAGAGAATGACTGCAGCTTCTCTGAGCTTTGTAACCAACTGCAAGTGAGGAAGGTCCTGATAAATGTGTCAGACTCCCTTTCTCAGACCGGGAGTATCTGAATAAATAATAGCAAGGAAATAAATTCAGCTGTGACATGGACAGCATCCTTATAATCCCAGCCCAGCACATCCAACACAATTGGGTCACTCTTAAAAACAGCAACAACTACCGCAACAAAACTTCAAGCAAATGTGCCATTAAAAACTCTTACATAATTGTAACAGATTTGGGTTTCCTCTGGTTCAGGTTTTCTTCCCTCTTTGATAATCAAATGATCTGAAGAAAAGCATAGAATTTCAGGGGAGAATCTGCATGACAGGCTCACAATAAGGCTATTCACAGAGACTCTTTTATGAGCTTACACAGGATCCGCATCATTCTTCGTCTCTGGCTTTGCTACAAGGCTCCATTTAAACTTAGCCCAACTTGCAGACTTAACTGATCCAGGAATGACTCAATACAATGAGCTAGCTACTGTAGCTCTTTCCCCTTTTGATAAGGGGACTTAACACAATGGGCTTTACAGTTCTTAAATGACTGATTTTTTTTCTGTCTTTGAGATGTGGTGCTTATGAGACCTTTTGTTTCTTTAAAAAGATTCACATGGTTTGATTATATTTTTGCTAAGTATAAACAAATCCAATATGCACTCCCTACCCTTAGAATAAAACTTTAAAAATCTTGTAAATGATATAGAAGCAAAACTCATGTCACACTATTTACACACCTGATTTCAACGTATTAGAAATTATTAACTATTAGGTATTATTCAATTAAACTTGAAAATATTTATTTTTGAGGGGTGATTCTGATGTAATTTCTAGTAGTTCTTCAGCATTGAATTTCATGTTTACACATTTCTTGTTATCTGCTGGTGTTTATACTGTGTTCACGACCTAATATGATATGTAAATTTAATATTTTAATAAAATTGGTCAGGTGGTTAGAGACCATGAGATGGGTGCAGTGCTAATACAGTTCCCAGTTCCCACCAGGGCACCTTGCTTATCCCTGAATAGTTGGGATGGAGGGGAGACCCTTGAGGATGCATCTGGTGGCACACTGCAGCGAGAGCACTGGGGACCTATGCTTTGGATACACACCTCAGAACAGTGGTTCTCAAACTTTAGTGGAAACAGGAATCATCAGGAATGCTTGTTAGAACTGCAGATGCTTGGAGCCCATCCCCAGAGACTCTGATTCAGTAGGTTCGGGATGGGAGCCAGAGAATCTGCATTTTTAACAAGCCATGCAGTTGATTCTGATGGGGTGGTTATTGTACCACACTGAGAGTCATCCTCCTGAAGTCACCGGGGAATGTTGGGAGGCCCTGCCTCCTCCCCTGCAGCACCTGCTGCTAGGTGAGCGGGGACCTTGGTTAGGAGTGACCCCTGTGATCAGAGGGCTGAAGATGCCAGGAGGGGAAGGACAGCTCTAGTATTTGCAGAGTGTCAGAGCAGCTCTTACCTCTTCCACCTGGTCCGCCTCCATCCCTCTTCATCTTCATGTGGCAGGGAACACACCTTGCCTGTGGGTCAGCGCTGGGTGTTTCAACATGTCATCTCACTCTCACTCTAGCTTTGTAATTAGAACTTCAGAGAGGTTGTTATCTTCAGTATTTAATCGAAATTTGCTTCTTTATCCCACTCCCCTACCCAGATTAATGTAGTTTTAGATTTTTGAAAATGAGGATCTTTTCCAATTGGAAATGGATTCGCAAGAAGCCTTTTGGGAATCATGGATGTAACATGTTTATTCATTTCACGAGGATGAGATTTTTCCTTGAAGGTCTGTTGATCTGATGGTCAAAGCCAATAGGGAAAATAATTGTTGATGATAACTACTGATGTTTACAGCAGTTTGCCTGGGGTGCTGTTGCGTGTTTTGTTTGTAGAATCCACCCCCATATGGTTGGCAGACTTTTCTATTCTGAGAAATTTCAGGCTATTCACAATTAGGAAGTACAGAAAACTCCCATATATTCATCACCCACTTTCTAGAGTTGTCAAGATTTATCATGTTTTTCAGCAGCCTTTTATTGTTTTTAAATCTTGCTGGTGGTTTTTGTAAGGGAGAACAAGCAATATCTTTTCTGCACCTATGGAAAGGTTCATGGCTAAGGCCCCTATAACAAAAGATAGATGAACAAGAGGAAACATACAGAAGTATTTATTGTAAGTTTTATATGACACAGGAGCCTCAAAAAGAAGTCTAGACCCCCAAGACATAGGGAAACCTCTGTATGTTTCTGCTTACGTTTGATCAAGAGTGGACAGAGTTATAATAGGACAAAGGGGTATGATTTAGCTGGCATGAAACTAGAGGGAAGTTGGCAAGGCCTGTTGGTCCAGATTCTTCCCTGTGTCCCTGTGTCTTCAGAGACAAGGAGATGGGGAGGATGCCTCTGGGTATGGGGAGGGCACCTCTGGAATGAGGGGCTTATGAGCTGCTTCAAGGGAAGGGCAGATAATTCTTTTACGGCCTGCTTTAGGGGAGGAGAGAGGAGAAGGTTAGAGGGACCTTCCTGCTTCCGCTGTTTTCTCAAATGCCAAGTTGCCATATTTTGGGATACATGCTGAACCTCCTCATTTTCAAAGTAGTTTGTTTTAGGAATGAAACAAACATGAAATGCTTTGCGTGGGGCCTGAGTCGAGTGATCACAAAGAGTCACTTAAATATGTCCTTTCCAGGAATGTGTTCCAGAAGACCTAGAACTGAAGAAGAAGATTTTTGCTCAGTTAGATTCCATCGTTGATGATCGAGTGATCTTAAGCAGTTCCACCTCTTGTCTCATGCCTTCCAAGTTGTTTGCTGGCTTGGTCCATGTGAAGCAGTGCATCGTGGCTCATCCTGTGAGTATTTTAAATCCAGAGAATTGATTGTATATCATTCTGTATTTTTTCGGGGAGGGGGGTCAATAACTTGTGATGAATCCATTACTATTTTAAACTGCTTTATTGAGACATAATTCAGTTACACAATTCACCAATTCAAATCGTGCAGTTCAGTGGTTCTTGCTGTATTTACAGAGTTGTGCAGTACCAGTATGTTAAAAAAGAATTTTATCCAAAAATCCCCTGGATTTTTATCTGTGTACCGCATGTGCAGTGGAACACAGTGAGCAATGCTTTGAGGCTTTCACCCTCAAGTAACTGTGCAGCTGAGGAGGCTGACCACTAAACACAAAATTCAACTCTCAGTATAAAAGTGCTGCATCAAAAATGTATACATCGGGTAGCATTGTACAGATATGTCACTTGCACTGTGTAGTTTACTCAACACAATTCAGAGTAAGATCCATTTTGTAAAAATGCAGATTCTGGGTCCTGCTTCTGAGATACTGACTGTAGGTCTGACGTTAAGCGCATTTTTTCCTTGTGGTTCCCTTCCACCCCCTCATTGTAATTAACTGTGCAAGCTTATTTGCCAGGAGTCCATTATGAGGTGCCCTGGACAGTGAGTTTCAAATTGGCATGCAAGCACTCAAGGAATCTTCTAGTGGTTAATGTATTGAGGTGAGGAAAAGGGAAATGAGAGAGGAGAGTCAGTGAGCGACGTTTGAGTTGAGCTGTGAGTTCAGTGTGACCTTGGAGAACCAGGACAGCCTGTTAGAATGGGAAAGGTGACTTAGCTCAAGCTATGATAAATATAATAGTGTATAATAGTGACCACACCCTTGGCACCACCAGGTTGCCAGAGGATAAGATCAGGAAGAAGCAACACAGAGGCTCTGGGCCCAGCCTGGCTAGCAGCTGGTTGGGCTGATGAGGGGAAGAGACGGTCTGAAGCTGGAGAAGAGCATAAGCAAAGACCCTGGGCCAAGAGTAAGCTCGGCTGCAGAACTGTGGGAGGTCAGGCTGGCGGGATGAGCACACATGCCCTGCAGCCATGGGAGCACTCAGCAGTAGCTGGGTTTGGAGAGTCATGAGGTTTACTCTGCCGAGCTGGGACAGGCAGCTTGGGTCCAGAGCAGCAGTGTGATGTGGTGAAGGCGCTGCTTGGGGAGAGCAACACGAACGTCCTTCCTGGGGTGAAGACGGGTTAGAGAGGGGAGCAGTGATGTCACAGGACTTGGGCAGTATTCCAAGCTTGAGTGACCAGGGCCTAGGATCAAGAGCTGGGCAATTCCTCTTTCTGAGCAAGAGCCGTTTAGAGTGTGGAGGTAACAGACGCCTACCAGATGCCCGCCAGGTTTTACGTGCTGAGAAGAGCGGCAGCTTGGACCACCATTTGCATAGCTGCATGGTCCTGGGAGAAATGACAGAAAGAATGAGGAATGGTTATAAAATAAGGAGGCTGAGATGCATAGAAATAGAAGAGAACCAGCCACATTTGATTACCACTCAAATAGGAATGAGATTAGCATTCGAGGGACCCCGATGGAAACCAAGTCCTGAGAAGCCTGCTGTGCCTTTGCTTTGGTGACATATACTTGTCGGTAAAAAGGGCTCCCGGAGACCTTAGCACTTCCTAGGTTGCTGCTTGATTGCTTCAGCGGAAGGTGTCAGCCTCCTCATTCCTAACCCATGTTTTTGCCTCTAAGTTAGTTTAAAACAAAACGAATCTAAATAAAATTGTTCAGAAAATACCTCCTGAGTTCTTTGACGAGATCTTTACTACATTTCTTTAATTTTAAACTGCCAGATGGGTGAGAGGACACCTGAGTCACTTGCTTCTCCCTCACACCCAGCCCAGTCCCCAGACCAGCAGGACTTGGTAACTGTTGATTAATGACACTTCTCTCCCTCCCGCCTACTCTTGCTCTATCACACAACTGCTCATTTATTTAGTGAAACAGCATTAAGTCCAGACCTTATTTTAAAAATTAATCTTCCTTATTGTTACAAATTATTTTTAAACAAAACTTTTAATTAAAGCAAATCAAATAACCTAAGTTAGTGGTCTTTGGAACTTTCCCTTCCTTTCCTCTGTGTTCCAGCTGCCCACCTCTTTTTTTTTTCTTTCTCTGTGGCTGTTGCCCAGGCTGGAGCGCAGTGATGCCACCATAGCTCACTGCAGCCTTGAACTCCTGGCCTCAAGCAAGCCTCCTGTCGCAGCCTCCCAAAGTGCTGGAATTGCAGGAGAAAGACATGCCGCCTGGCCCCACCTATTGCTCACCCCACGGGGCCTCTAGGAGAGTGGACAGGCAGTTCCTACAGAATCAAGACCCAGTAATAACCTCTGAGGCACCACAGTTTCTGCGGAGACCCTAGGCCAGCTAGGAGCGGCTCACCCTGCAGCCCCAGTCCCTGCTTGGGGCCCTTTATTTCAATCATTGGTGACCTTTGCCTGGACTGAAAATAGGATGAAGAAAAAAGGAGGCCTGTTCATGCTGTGGCGAAAGTGGATATTCAGCAAATTGGAAAGGTTGCTTCTGTCCCCACCCACACAGAGAGGCCCACAGCCAGCGTCCCGCCGCCACGTGCTCCCTGGGGCGGGGAGGCACTGGCCAGGCGAGCACGTGCGCCCCACGCAGGAGTTCAGGCTGGGCTTCTGGGACTGGAGCCGCTGGCGGCCACACTGAAGGCCCAGGAAGAGGGCTGTTCATGCAGCCCTGCTCTGTTCTAGACGTTTTTCTTCTCCAGTGACTGTGTTGTTTCCTCGACTCCTAATGGCAGTGACTCCGGAATTCCCACATGGAGGGGCTGGGGGAGGAGCATGTGGCGGCTGGGGCCTGTGGGTGACAGTGGCGTGCACGTTGCATCGCAGTGTGTCTTCACTGAGCTCTGTGTTAGCGCTGATAGAGGGGCAGTTTTCTACTGATAGTTTAGCCACACTTTACAAAGAGGCCCCCTGCTTTTTTCTCTTCCTTAGTTCAGTCTGGTAGGGCGATGGTCCTGTGGGGCTGGCGGGGTCTTGGGAGGCCTCTAAGGACCGGGCCTGCTGAATAAACGGCCTGCCTGGGAACGGGGTGGCGGCCGGCAGAGGGGGCCACGCGGTGGGCGTGGGGGGAGAGGCCACCGGTCAGCCCCTCCCCGCCCCTTGCCTGTGCTCCGCCTTTTCGGACTCGCCTCCCGTCTGACACTGAAGCCGTCAGCCCTGGTGGTGGTGGTAAATGTTGGAGGCAGGGGCTTGCTGTCTGCAGAGCGCCGTGGCTCTGTGCGGCCTTTGCGCACCTGCACCGCCCTGCGGCTGCTCGGACTTGCTCTGGGCCCCGCCTGCGAGCGCGCGGCGGGGAGGTCGGGCCGCCGGTGAAGCAGCGGGCACCGAGGGGGACAAGAGGCTCCAGCCCGGCTGCCTCCCGCGAGGGCGCCGCCGGCCCCATGGGCATCGCCGGTTGGTCCCGGAGCGAGGATGAAGGGAGCCTCTGTGGGCGGCCGCGCTGTCGGCGCGGTCACACGGGGCCCGGGCGGCGGGAAGAATGCGCCCCTTGTGCTCGGGCCGCCGGCGCGCAGCAGCCTTCCTGCCCATGCCCAGGCCCCGCGCTGCCTCTGTCTGTTTGTCTAACCCTTTTGGGGGCGTGTTTCTGAGTCTGCCTCGTGCACTCCCACACTGAAGTTTTCTCTTGCTTCCTAAGAGGGCAGAGCAGGTGCCCAGGACGGCCCTTATTGCTCCTTCCCTCTTCTGTGGGCGTCATCTTGAAATAGAAGCTTTTGCTCATGGACTCATCACTTAGGAAATGTGACATTCTGCCTATCACCCATATGGTGGAGGAAAACGCATTTAAAAGCATCATTTGGGGACCAGTTTACTGCGATACACTTGGCTCAGTGCTCAGGCCAGTCAGGTTCTACCGAGAACCAAGTCAGGTTCTCCCTACATTTGCTAATTCTCTGTGAGGAATCTCTAAGAACAGTTTCTCAAAATAAACCAAGAACACCAGAGTCGAATAGTGACGTCCAGGCCCCTGCCTCGGGCTCACTCACCGGGACAATGCCTCCCTGTCTTGGGCTTTTTGGCGTGCAGGGCCAGCTGAGGTGTGTTGATGAGGATTGATTTCTAGAGCAGAAAGGTGACCTTCGATTGGAAGAGGCAGACGCTTAAGGTGCAATATGGAGGAATTAAGGAAATACCAGGTTTTGCGAAGACACTGCTAATAATTTATTTTTGAGACAGCCCCTGGCACTGTCCCATAGGTTGCAGTACAATGGCACGATCGTGGCTCACTGCAGCCTCCACTTTCTGGGCTCAAGTGATTCTCCTACTCCAGCCTTCCAAGTAGCTGGGACTACGGGTGCACACCACCACACTCAGCTAATGTTTTTGATTTTTTGTAGAGACAGGGTCTCACTTTATTGCCTAGGCTGGTCTTGAATTCCTGGGCTCAAGTGATCCTCCCGCCACAGCCTCCCAAAGTGCTGAGATTACAGGCGTGAGCCACCGCCTCCAGCCTACTAATAATTTTAACACCGACACAGGAGAATGTCAGAGGCTGTGGTGACTGCAGATGGGAAGGCATGGTTCTGGAGGGTGGTGGGCGGGAGGGAGCTTTGAAGACAAGACAGATGGGAGCAGAGAAGTTCTATCCTGGGAGGCCAGGGATTTGAAGATTAGCCATAAACATACAGGAAGGCAAGCTGTCCCTCCAAATTCCAACTTTGTATTTTGGGTGATTTTTTTTTTTTAAACAAAACCACACAATTCTGTATCCAGGTTCCCTTTTCTTCTCACCTTTGCGAATACATTTCTTTCTCAAGTATCTTGTTGTTGGCTGCTGAATCTAAAGGCACCTTTCCAAAGATGTATTTGCCCCTCCTGACTATTCAGGGTGGGTGCAATGCCCCAAACCCAGGGTGGTCTCCTTGACTCCCCCACTTCTCTCTCTCCGAAGGTGAATCCACCGTACTATGTCCCGCTGGTTGAGCTGGTCCCCCACCCGGAGACGGCCCCTACGACAGTGGACAGAACCCACGCCCTGATGAAGAAGATTGGACAGTGCCCGGTGCGAGTCCAGAAGGAGGTGGACGGCTTTGTTCTCAACCGCCTGCAGTACGCAATCATCAGTGAGGCCTGGAGGATGGTGGAGGTGTGTGTGTCCTTCTTCCCTCCCTCCTTCCCTTCCCTCCTCCCTCCTTCCCTTCCCTCCTCCCTTCTTCCCTTCCCTCCTCCCTCATTCCCTTCCCTCCTCCCTCCTTCCCTCCTTCCCTTCCTTCTTCCCTCCTTCCCTTCCTTCCTCTTTCCCTTCCTTCCTCCTTCCCTTCCTTCCTCCCTCCCTGCTTCCCTTCCTTTCTCCCTCCCCCCCGCTTCCCTTCTTTCCTCCCTCCCTCCTTCCCTTCCCTCCTCCCTCCTTCCCTTCCTTCCCTCCTCTCTCCTTCCCTTCCCTCCTCCCTCTCCTCCCTCCTTCCCTCCTTCCCTTCCTTCTTCCCTCCTTCCCTTCCTTCCTCTTTCCCTTCCTTCCTCCCTCCCTGCTTCCCTTCCTTCCTCCCTCCCTGCTTTCCTTCCTTCCTCTCTCCCTCCATCCCTTCCTCCCTCCCTCCTTCCCTTTCTTCCTCTCTCCCGCCCAAAGTTGAGCAGGACAGTGAAAGTTGTTCCTTGGGCAGCCTGGAAGCTGGGAAAGTCAGAAGCTGCTTGGTTCTTCTTGTTCTGTTCTGGAGACCGAGGGCCAACTTTAGAAACAAAGTAAAATGCAGTGATTCATTGTCTGTCTGAGAGGTTCTTTTTACAGTCACCTGATACCAGGACAGGACGAGTGGCTTCTCTCCTTCTGCCCTTTTGCAGCATTAGATGTAATTACCCATGTGGCCCGCTGCATTTTCCCACAGAGTCATCTTTTACCCTTCAGTATTATAGTTTTTCAGAAGAAAAAAAAATTTTACTTTCTGTAAACTTTTTTCTCCTGAAGGAACCTGATGGTTTCAAGAGCTTGAGGAGGAAATGATGAATAGACTTGTTAGAGTAAATGCTTGTCTTACATATAAAGAGGAAATTATGTATTAATATATGTAACGTCATCCTCTAAAGAAAGGCTTTTACATGGAGGTGAAGAAATGGCCTGGCTGCACGCATTCCCATACACATTTGCATATGGGGCCGTGGCGCCTGGAGGCGATAGGTCGGCTGGATGAGGCCGGGAAGTCTCCAGGTCTGGGAGCAGAACTGTCTGGCTTCCCTTATGGCACTTTCCCGGCTTCTGTAGGGGAAAGACAAGACTCTGCCCACGCCTGTGTTGCGGAAACATGGTGGAGGGTGCTAGGGCCGGAAGTGCCCAGCTGGAGAGGGTAGAGAGGACGCTGCTTGGGCTCACGTCATCTGCACCTGGCGTGGCTCCACAGTTCCTTGTTTGGACTTGCATGGACACACACCGAGCCTCGCCTGAGACGGCAGCCAGGAAGCCGACCATGCCCCAGCTTTCCTGGGTGTTGCATTTCAATTTCCCACCCATTCTTCCAAACCAGGCAGGTGTGCATGACGGACGTGGCCTCCCACAGCCTGCTTCTCATTTGGGGCCAAATCCCTGTTAGGTTCGTTGTCTGACTTGACTTCGGAGTGCATTTGTCATGCAGTTGCCTCGATTCTGTGTCTCAACGTTTCAATCCACTTAAGGCTCCTGTATATTCAAGAAACAGTGCTTGGGTTTCCACTGTTATGGTGGAGGTTTGAATTTCTTAGTAATTTCTTGAATATCAGTTAGTGTCAAGGTATTTTTAAAGAAATGCTAATCTATCAGAACCTCCTTGGAGTTTTGAATATTTCCATTTGTCTAGAAAAGGGGAACAACTTTAGACCCTTTGCCCATGTTCACTTGTGTGGTTTTACAGGCAATCTCAACTTTTTATTTGTAAGGTATTTTAGCACTCTGAGTTAAATCTTGCTTTCTCCAATCTGAAAGGTGTGAACCCATTCAAGGAAGCATTTGGGATTCTGGAGTAAGGGGATCAGGTGGGAGGTGTGCACGAAGAACGCTCCGCTGCAAGAGCCATGGAGGACTCTGGTGTTTCCTGTTGCTGCTGGAGGAGGGCAGGTGTGGGGGGGAGTTGGGCTGCTGAGGTAGTTCTGCTGGCTCCGTTGTCCTGCTTCGTGGCTCATGGCGGCCTGAGTGACACATTGTGTTACTGGCTGGTGGGAACGTTCTTTCTGCGGTGACATACCTCCTGAGAAAGTGAAGCTGGAATGTGTCTCCGTGTTGGCTGCTGTGGGGACTCACGTGCCTGGAGTCCCTGTAAGAAACCGAGTGCTGAAATCTAGCAGGATACAGTTTGTGACAGAACAGGAAGAGGTCAACAGAAAGGGGAAATTAAGAAAGTACTAGTAAAACTCAAAGAATTACCTTGGTGAAAGTCTAGAAGATAAACCATTTTTTAAAATAAGGATGATCTACAGGTAGCGGGGCCCAAGGAAGCTCTAGAAACTGCAGGTCCTCTCCTGGCAGGGGTGGGAATAATATTACCAGGCACCCCGAGCCCCACAGGGATGACTTCCAGGGTGTAAGGGGCTTTAGTTATGTGGCTAGGCTGGCAGAGAGGGAGCACAGAGGAGGTCAGAGAGGAGGGTGGGCTTGTCATGTGCTGACCTTGACTGACACCACTTAGTGGCAACACCTCCGTCGGCTGGCCACTTCAGGAGCAAGGTCACGACAGGCATGTGAGTGCTCCAGCAGCAGATTGAGGTTTGACAGCCTTTTCTGTTGATCCTTGCTTGGCATGTTAACTGGGTAAAGCTGGGATGCTTTCAGGGTAGGGGAGGGGCTAGGTGACTTGGTTCAGTGCGCTAAGGGAGCCTGCTGGAACTGAGGCAGTGGCACACTGCTCCTGAAGTAGCCGCTGACATGAGCTCCTGAGCATCCACATGGAGGCCTGCATTCCATAAGGCTCTGGGGCTGGGTGGCAGAGCCATGCCTCATCTCAGTGTTGCCCTAGAGAAATCTTGCCCTCGACGATTGTGCCAGCCGCCCTGTGCCTCCCACCTAGCAAGCAGGGTGTACCTGACACAGTTCCCACAGGGGGGTTGGTTTAAGGATCCTTGACTTTATTGTAGGAATCTCTTGAAAGAGAATCTGTGCTACTGTGGCCTGTTTTCCCTGCCAGATACTGCAAGTCAGCAAAAGTTAGCAAATCTCTCTAGGGCCCCACCTCCCCATCTTGCAAATCTGTATGGTTGCTCCAAGCCACAGTTGAACGCAGGGCATAGTGACACCACTTTGACTCACATCTTCCAAGCCAGATGAACTTTAATTTGCATTTTGGAGTTTTTCAGTAGTTGAACTTAGATTTGGGGTGTTCCAAGTTTACCTTGAAACTCTCAAGAGCAACTTTTAATAGAAAAAGGAGCAGAATTGGGGAAGTTTTGAGGTACAGACTAAAGGCTTGTGTATGTTTAAAGTTGAAAAGCTCCAAAGACCTTGCAGAGCTTCCCCTTCTCAGTGAGGCCTGGGCTGGGTTCCACCTGTGGGGAGAGTGCCCGGCCCCTGAGCCTTGACCGTAGTGAACAATGAGTGTTGGCGGGAGGCATTGCCCCTCCAGGACTCACTGGGGTGGGTGCTTCTGTCTCAGGACTCTCTGGGCTCAACAAAGCAAGATGAAGTTTGATGGCCTTTTCTGTTTGACCCTTGCTTGGTGTGTTAGTTGGGTAGACCTGGGATGCTTTCAGGGTAGGAGAGGTGCCAGGTGACTTGGTTCAGGGTGCTGAGGGAGCCTGCTAGAAATGGGCCGTGTGCCTCTGTCCAAGCGTGTGGGTGCTGGGTCAGCAGGTCAGGGAGGAATGCTATTTCCTGCCATCTCTGGCATCTGTAGGTGAGCAGCTCTGCACAGAAAGGATGAAAGTGTGAATTTCCAGGGGTCTGGCTCCCAAGTTAAGGCAGGAGCTAGAACAGGATGGAAGGACGGCTTGCATTTCCACCCATGGCGGTGTCTTGCTGCTGATGTCAGGGTAGGGCAGAAGAAGCTGTGTTGCCGCTCACTAAGTGGTGCTAACAGGGATCCTGTGCATTGACTTCCGTGTGTTCAGCCAGCCTCACATACATGGAATAATCTTACTTAGGATTGCTGGATTCAACCTGGTTATGCATTGTTGTGAATTTTTTTTTTTTTGCATCTAAATTCATAGGAAATATTTGTCTGCAGCTTTCTTTTTTTGTACTGTCCTTACTTGATTTTGGTATCAAGGTCACAGAGGTGGAGAAGTCCAATGCTTGGGACCAGAAGTATTTCAGGTTTTGGATGTTTCCAGATTTTGGAATATTATATACTTACTGTTTTAGCATCCCTTATCCGAAAATCAGAGATCTAGAATGCTCTAGTGAGCATTTCCTTTGAAAAAGCATTTACTTGTCATCTCTTTCTGTCCCTGGGCAGCTCTGTAAGCCCTCAGACCTTCGGGGGGTAGAATGGAGACCTGGATAGCCAGGGGAATGAAGGAGCCAGGTCTATTGTGCTGTCTCACAGACGTTCACTCCGTTTAGTTTCTCTTCCAGTTGGCTTCAGATTTGGAGCACAGCCACCCTTGTGATCTTGGAAATTCCAGATGGACATGTCTGGCCACAGTCTACTGACACTCACTTCCCCTGCCAGAGACATGGTCCCTGGGTGACAGGATCTTGTTGGCTGGGATGTCATTTCAAGTCTATATTCTTAAGTTATTGGTGTACTTAAGGACATTGTGTTGTAACAATAGACTTTTGTCTGGAGAGTAGCTGAGTTTGTTGCCTGTAAATTCCTTCCCATGCGGGCAGGGTATGTGGAGGTGCCTGGGAATGAATCTGCAACCCTCGGCAGGTTCTCAGCCTTCTGGTGCGGGTTGGTGGTGATGAGCTTTGGAAATCGCTGACCTTGGGTTCCACCTGTCCTTCTGAACGAGGTCATGCCTGTGCTGGACCGTTGTCCTTCGGGCCTGGGCCCGATTGGAGATTGAGCTCTTGGTGTCTTGATTTGTCAGGGTGGATGTGGTCTGGGGCACCTGGAAGGGGCCCTGAGAATCCAGAACTTCGTCACTGAGCTTTATTTCAGACACAACTGCCAACTGTTAGGAGGCATTGTTTTAGTTCATGAAGTGCATCTCAAAGATCATGGAGTAAAATTGGCAGATGAGGCT